ACTCAGTCGTCACCCACTGAGAGCACCATGCCCCTCAACCTTCAGATGCACAAATTTGTGGGCTGTCAGCCCTGGCCTCCTGGTTAAATCCAATTTCTGGGTTCAAACACAAGGCAAAAGAGAGATCTCTCTGAAACATTCAGGGGCTGGATATTCTTGCAGAAAAGCTGGCTTTCTTGTAATTTCATTGAGAAACCAAATGAAACCTGCTAGTGTTAATGAGAAGTTGTATTTGATCATTTCACGACCATTAGGCAAAATGACAGTTTTAGTAGGACTGCGTTTTGCGCTCCTTTTTAAAAGGAGCAGGGTAGCTGTTGCACTGCTTCACTGATAACTTTGGAATGACACAAGCTTAACTTGAGAGCGACACAAGCTTGTCTCAGTTTAACGTGGCTACTGAATCCAACTTACAAAAAGTGACCTGGATGTAAACTAATTTAGTAGTGCTTGTAGGAAACTGAAACGATATTTCAGAGAGGAGGGGACTTTATTCTAGTTAGATACGGATTCTGAAGCTTAGCTTCCACGTTTTTGAACTATTGTCAGAGCATTTAGGAAAGGCTACGAGGATCTGCACAGCTTTTTGTCAGCGATATTATAGTACAGCTTCACATTTGCATGACTTCTAGACCACAGCAAGTGGTTACAGAATACCGACCAATTATGTTTTCCAGTTTGGTTCCTTGCTTCATGTCTGGGTTGCTTTCACAGTAGAAAAGCCTTGCGAGTGGAATCACAGCATTACAAACAAAAGTTCCAACTGCTGTTCGTTTGGTAGTTTTCCCTAAGTAATTTTTCACTTCACTTTGCACCAAAGTGGCATGGCTCAGTCTCCCAGTTCAAAACACAACCCAAGGGTCCCCTCTATCCTCCAATCAGTGGTGAATTTTCCAAAAGGTCATCAGGCATGTTAATTTTAGCTATGAAAATACAGCTCGCCATTTAGGATGGAAAGAGCTGGAAACAGCCCCCTCCCCCAAGACCCTTGCCCCTGTGAGAAGAGTCATGATACATCATGCATGTGAACTACATCTCTCTATTCTTTTGACAGCTGCAAAACTTAAAGGCAGTGATTTAAGAAGGGGTGATAGATGCTGCTGGGTTGGCCTTCCCCAGTATAGCACACAGCTATTCTTCCGGTACGAAGCACAGAGCTTGTTACAGTTCGGTGCAGAATGATTTCTCTGCATGGCCGGGTGATGTTTAAGGAGACTAATGAGAGAAATGATACAGCCCAGAACCCGGGTGTCAGGAAATATATTGCAAGGTGTCTGTCTTGGGGAAGCTGAAAGCGGCACTTGTCCTATTGTATATTTCAAAGGGGATGTCTGTCTCGCCACCAAGTGAGACATGCACCCTGTCCCGTTCTCCATTCAAATTACAATTTTTCGAATACTAGCTTTCCATTCAACTTTCGGTGGCTTAATGATAGACTGTATGTTGGACAGGGGCAAAACAAGAGTCCATCTCATTGGCGTGTCGCTCTTTTGAAGCGGGAGCTTGTTTCTGAGGCCTTTGTAGCATAACTATGCAAGTGTCAGAGGACGGGCTGGAGGCTATTACGGGCTTCTGCTTTTTGTAAGGAAAATCAAACAAATGTCCCTGATGGAAAAAGGAAGCCAGCAGCTGCATGCGATGACCAGAGAAGGTTTTTGTGCAGTGACACTATCAGTACCTGGTCTGTTGTCAAACTGGAAAACCTGGGCTTTTTTTCTGCTGTCAACCTAAGGAAAGAAAAACCCTGTGCGTTTCTGTGAGATACCTTTTCCTCATTCCCAGCATTTAACAATCCAATTATATTTGTTTTTATGCCAGTGTTTGCCTCTATTGCCATTGTTAGCTTTTTGAGTCGGAGTGATTTTTCTGTCCTGATGGTGCAGAAGTAAAATATGTTTCATTATGACTGGTTACAACCCTGGAAATCTTTTCTCTCGCTTGGGTTGATGACAATTTTTTATGCTGCATTCTGTACTGATGCCTAAAGTGAAGTAGAATGAACCATAAGGAAGAAAAGCTTTGCTAAAATATAGCTCCTTGCACTGTGTAGAATTATCTTGAACAGAGCTTGTATCTTTCTAATTTTATGCTCCCTCCCCCGCCCCCACTATTGTTCAAGTAGTTTTTACAAATGAATGTTGTTTTTATGAGGATTGTTTATGGGACCATTGCTTTTAGCAACCTCTGCTCACCTGTGAGCAAACTGCCTAGTGCAGATAAGGTAGCTAGTTGTTTCTAGATAGGGTGACCTTATAAACAGATTCTGTAACAAGACAAGCTTTTAAATTCCTAACCAAATATATTACATGAGTAATAAAAAGAGCTCCTCAAAATGGCCACAGAGGTATTTCAGAGCACATTCTTGGGAATATTCACTTGTGCTAGCATTCATTCGATTTGCTCTCAGCAAAAATTCTCGTGAATGAAATTTTATTCACTAGTCACTGTGATTATTACTGTACTATCATAGCAATAATCAGATGCTTTGTATAAGGCCAGGACCTGATTTTGTCTAAGGCTGGAGGAACATCTTATAGGGTCTCCAGAGAATATATTGTCTGAATATAAGACCAGACTCTGCTAACGACTGGGAACTGCAAACCCTCAGAGAGCAATGGGTTTGTTTACGAAAGAATTCACAGCTAGAGAGGGATGAATACTGAATGTTGTACTCTAGTGTTATACTATTTGAATTATAGCAAATGTTATACCGTTTGAACTATGCTATGTTACAACTGTGCAGCTCCACCAAATATGAATGCAATTATACTGTTATAAAGGTAATTTATATCGTGATGACTAGTCTTACAGATAAAAGGGAATAGCTCTTCAGATGCGGTTCATTGCTATACTGGCGTAGTGTATCGACACCATAAGGAACAGAACAGAACCGGACTGATTTTTCTAAAACACACCCTAGCCCAAATATCTGTATCGGGAAAATTCCTCAAGCATGGGCCATGCCTAAGAAGAATACTCCCAATTGTGTAATACATGGGCTCCCAGACTGTGTGTTGAATTAGCCTGTGAATAAAGCCCTTCCTGGAGATGGTAAATGATTTTTTTTTTTTTTTTTTAGCCTTGCACAGTTAAATGTGCAAGAAGTCTCGTTTCCTCCAGTCTAGAGGAAGGTAAAAGAGCCAAGTTGCACCGGAGGAATACTTGCAGGGAGTGAACTTGCAACTTTTGCCTAGCCCTGTCTGTTAGAAATGAGAGACCAAGGAAGCATGGCCATTCTTGGCTGTGAAATTTGTTCCTAAGTCTAGGTGCAAGGAAGTGTTTTCAGAACTGGAACTCATTCCCTGAGCAGTGTCTGTAGTGCTGTTTTGCATATCTTCACTGCTGGGGGGAAAAGTACGTATCCTGTGCTGTGAGGTGCTGCTTTGTAACCGGCCAATTTGCAGAGTCCTACAGTGTGTAACGGCTGGCACTAGCTGCTCTCTGGAGCATTGATTTTCAGGTGGACCAGGGTGCAAGATGCACTGCGTACATGGGTACAAGATGCATGATGTATGTGCCTGAAATGAAAATCTCCTATGCAGCAGAGGGAGGGAAGGAGAGTGGGAGACTTCCTGGAGCTGTTAAAGAGTCAACGCACTAACCCCATGTATTACTTAAACCTTGAAACTGCCATTGCTTTCTGGTTTTAGCAGGGTGAGAACTGTTTGTTGGCAGCAGAGCTAAACACAGCACATTAGATATTTCCCTTCTGTTTCTCACTGCCCCCCTTTCCCCATGTCATGTGAACAAAATTATCTGATAAAGTCCTTTGACATTTGTAATTAATTACTTCTTCCTTACTCTTATCTTGTTTGGCTGTCCTTTTTCTCTGCCTTTTCCTTTTTCTTTTTTATCTCTCTATCATCAGGTCCAAGAAATCATTCCAATATTTTCTTTTTAATAGATAAATGCAGTTTTATACAGCATTAGTTTCTTTTGAAGAAAGACTTAAGCTGTTCTTTTGTCCATCCTAATGCAGGAGTTGTCATGTTCTTGCACTGCAGTCACTTGTAAGTCCTTGAGCTATCGTGTATTCTGTTGGTATTTGAGGAATTGAAAATCAATCACATAGCCTTATGGCTTAGGTTCAGCACAATTCTATTATGCCCACTCTCAAAAGTCAATTCAAACCTTTTGGGTTATATTTCAAAGCCTAATCAAGCTTGCTGTCCAGACAGGTTTGGAGTCAACTCACTCTTGTCCATAGGTCTGTTTGTTAGTGTTTTTCTATCAGAAGGTAACACAAAAGAAAGCGGCTTTCGTAACAATAGAATTGTTCAGGGGGCATTTTGCAAAGACAAGCCACCCAAAAAGGTCATAGAATCAAAGAATACTTACTATTGTAATGTGTTTCTGCAAATATGTTAATAAAAGCTGTGTTGATATGAGAATATCTTTAACTGGGCTTTCCTTTAAAGACGTGCCCTAATTTACTGAGGATAGTTTCTAGGCCTGTCTTGTTAACCTGATACAAAAGTTATTGTAGATGCAACCATAAACTTAGATGGCAACTTCTGTACCTTGGACCATGTGAACAAATGGGAATGGTGCCTCCAGATAGCAGATAGGCCAAAAATGGTGGAAGGATGAGCTAAGCAAGAGTTGTGGCACTCTCTGTTTGTCAGGTGCATGTTGAATATATTCCAATCCAGTTGGATTCCAGCAAGTGCCAAGTACTCGCCCTCAGGATGAAGGAGGCTCTATGCAGATCTGGCTATTAGCAATCCTCAGTGAAAATATGTACCAGTTATGTACTGGAGGCAGCTCAGCCTCATGCCTTTGGGAGGAAAGCAATGAGAGGCTCTTAGTGGTGACATTTCCAGCTGATTTAGGGGTGCAGCACTGAGAGCTCTGCTCATTCTTTCAAAGGCTGGTGGCTCTTCTGTGGGACCTGGGTAGCCCCTATAAATAGCAGACCGCGCTCTCCTTCCTTCCCCCCATGGGAAAGGCATTGCTCTGTAACCAGTTCCTTGTGCTGCTTCTCATCCCATATTCTGCAGAGACGCAGGGATTTTCTCCAGTGGATGCTGGACTCCCGCAACTCTGCTGCTTCCCTAGGAGCTGAGTGTTTTGACGTGATCAGCCCAGCCACTGCCTCCAGCCACCACGAGGCATCTGTTGCGGGCAAGTCCCCATCTGAGAAGGTTCAGAAGACATTAACGGAGGACGAGATCGCAGGCCAAGCTTTTCTCTTCCTGATTGCTGGCTACGAGACCACCACTAGTGCACTGTCCTTTGCCACTTACTTGCTAGCCACCAACCCAGAGTGCCAGGAGAAGGTACTTCAGGAGGTTGACAACTTCTCAGCAAAGCACGTGAGTATCGTGCGTTGGTGCGGAGCTTCAGGCAAGGAGCAAGGCAATGTGAATATCGTGCCACTGTGGCGTGTGCAAGATCCCTGTTTGTCTCAGTTGTGCACGCACAGGTTGTTAATATTTTACTAAGATTTTGCAGATCATTACCTTGAATTTCCTTTTTTTAAGAGAAGTCAGAGAGGAAAGTTGCCTGCACTTAATTTTGATCGAGTTGGACCCAATGAGGCTTTGCAGAGAGTAGCTTACCTTCTTTGCTGATGGCTTACTTCGTTCTGATATAGTTTTTGTCAGACTGGGTTATGCAACACAGCACCTGTTTAAAATAGGGATATTTTCAGCCAAAAATTCAAAACTGATCCATATTGTTCAGTTTTATTGGAAACTTAAGTGATGTCACTTTACAGCAACTGAAGAGGTGGCCCAGAAACTTTATTATAGTGAAAGTTTAACTTTTGCAAAATACTTTACGTTATTGAAACAATCCAAGTGTGGCCAGGCTCTAAAACTAAACACATTTCTATTTTTCCCTCTTGTCCAGATACTTTTTTTGCTGTTGTGGCTAGTTTTATTTACTGATCTTTGTAAGCACATGAGCAGAGTCATTATTAAACATCAACTGCATAGTTTTGCTTAAAATATTCACATTTTAATTTTTCCTTCAGGAGCAGAATATGTGTGCATACTTAAAAATCGCAAATACCTAATTCTCTTATACTGTTTTCAAATGACTCCTCCTTCACTTTCTATTTATCAAAGCTAGTCTTATGTTTACATTTCCTGGACAACTATTGACTGTATCTCATATATCTAGCACACAGTGCAGCAGCCGTTCTTCTACTCCCACATTCTCTGCACAAGTTGTTGGTTATGAAAATTCAGATGCAGTGTCTTTATCTTTTTCTTCTTTGTAAATTTCTTACAGTGGATCATGAGGCTAATAGGAGAAAAATCACACAAGGGATGGCTGTCTTGCAGGATTTTAACATGCTGAAGTCTTTAACTACACAGTTTTGGAGGTTTCATACTTTCTATGCATTCCATACTGTGTTATACTTACAGAACAAGGAACTAGTAGTTTAATTACCTGCTTTGCTGGTAAGATCCAGTTCTTGGCTATGCAAAAGTGTGCACATTTAAAACCTCCCAATTTCCTCCCTTTTGTTTGGGCAAATGTAAAACCTAGGATTTGTGTACACAGAAAACATATAATCTTTTGTCTTATATGAAGATGTTTTGAGTGGTGGTTCTCCTTCAAAGAGTCCTGTTGCTCTGAGGGTGTAGACAGGCTATAGCGCTGGAGCTTAGGCCTTGAGCAATCTTTTCCAGAGCTTTTCCATAGTGCATGCCTCATACCTCTGGTGTGAGTTAACTCAATACAGTGAAGCCATTGCTGTGTTATTCTCTGATTTATAAGGCTTGGGTTATAATCGTAGGTTATTATTAGCACTGCGACACTCCAACTGCAGTATATTTACTTGTTTCATTCAAGTGCAGCGGACCTAATTCTGCCCTCATGTCCAGTTAATTCAGTGGACTTCCTCAGGGGTTGCAAAACTGTGAAGGTGCAACTTGGACTGGAGTATGTGCAATTTACTGGTTAATACTAGTGGCAGTTACACACAGAAATCCCTGTTATGCAGCCCTGAGGAAAACATGTTTCACCTCCTCTCCAGTTCCTGAAAACTGACAGCCTGAGAAGCTAAAGTGAAGTTGTTGGGAGAGGAATCTAGTATGGTGGGTACACAATGTCGTTCGTTTATGTGGTCTGTTGATGAATATATGAAATATTTTTCCATATAAGTGAATAGAAGCTGACTAGCTCTGCCTTCCCTGCAAGCTGTCATTAACTGACTAATTATTTATAGACATTTCGTATAGGGAAATCACCTATCTGGCTGTGTCCACATCAATAAGTAGTGTGGTCCCATGGGTGCAGAGTGATAGTCTGGAGCAGCTAGTACTGAGGATTGGTGGGTCCATGTTGTGCACATTTCGGGAGAGTTTGTTTTGGCTCCTAGTCTGCTCTTGTGGACCAAATTCCCCTCAGCTGGAATGTATCTTCTGATTTAGTTTCACTTAAAGGAGCCCTGGCTGTGCACTCAAAGACCATGCCGTAATGTGAACCAATGAGAGAGACTTGCTTTGTCAGTGTGCTCCTGGTCAAAGCTTGGGCACTACGTTGCATACGAGCTGTCTGAGCTGTCACTCATTATTATTAATATTTCAATAACAACGCAATTCAGATGGGTAATGCTTGACTGTATTGGTTCTGAAATAGTATTTTCCTAATAATTTCAGTCTTTTCAGTGTCTAGGAGAAGTCGTGCAGCTAGGGACACTTGTGATGGAGAAGTCAAAACACGAAGAGAGATAGCACTCAAATGAGCGGTTTTTTTCAGGTTAGCTCCGTACACAGTCATAAACGGTGTGGGCCTGCAGACCTCATCCTAAACCATCCTATCCCATGTAACACTGATTGGAAACACCTTCCCCAGCAGGTCCCCATACTTTTACTAGTTTTGGGGTTTAGCTGAAGATGATGCCTATATGGCTATATGGCCAGGGAGAAGAGGGGAAAAAAGGATAACTGTGTATCTGCTCTCTTTGATGACAGGAAATTCATGTTTCCAGTCTGTGCAGCCCCCTCTTCCAAAGATTTCTTATTATAAACGGTTTATGATTTGGAGCCCCCTCCAGAATCAGGAGAAGGACACAGCAGTTCAGTCCTCTTAGTGACTGTAGGTAACTGCGTTTAGCCCAGAAAATAAGATCTATGTGAATGGTTTGCAAGTTACAGGAGCAGAAGCTATTTTAAAACAGGGAATATGTAGATGCTATGTTCATTTGTCATGCAAGGGAGAGGAAGGGAGGGCAGCATAGCAGCTACAGGCTCGGAGTTAGTTATTGAGTAAGTTATTGCTAAGAAATTTGATTAGGTTAGAGCTTGTGCTCAGCACATCAGCTTTACTCTTATCAAGGCGCTTTGCAATTTTCAGAAAGAGCTTTAGATGGCCAAAACATGGAGAATGGTACAGTCGGGTTGTTTTGACAGGTGGTAGAAGACTGCTTTGATTTGCAGATGTACAAGTGTTCAACACTGTACCATCTCTAGCCAAATTTATGCTCAGGTAATTATAACTACTAAATGCTCTCCACCACCTCCCCCTTCCTTCCTCCAGCAATTTCAGTTGCCTCATGCTGCATGTTTTATTGCCCTAATCTGTGGTGCAGAGCTGTGGTCTGATCTTACAGCAGCTGCTGTGTTTCATCCCAGAGACCGCTGTACTTTGGACAGAGTGATTTATGTGTAGATAGATCTAGTTTATACACTCATTTGCTAAAGTTTATAAAGACATGTGGGAGCCATCTGAGCAAAAGGTGCTATAAATGACAGGCCCAGTCTTTCTGGCACGTAAGTCAAAAACTCAAAGCACAGTGACCTTGTGATAGCAGTAAGGAGAGCAAGGTTGGTACGAGTGGGCATAGAGCAGTGTTCTGCTGGATCTAGGTTTCATACTTGCAGATACTTCTGAGTTTGCTCTTATCTTCATCTGTCTTACTTACACCATGATTACCTCAGCAGCGTGGGAAAGCGTGAAGGGGAAGGACAAAGACCGACATACTGCTGTGGTGGAGGTCCCTGAGCTAGTTCCGCACAAGCTGCTGAGAAGTACCAGGTCTAGGGAGAGGGGGGTGCAGAGATCTTCACTGCCTGTAGGGAAGGAGAGACACAGAGTCCGAAGTGGGTGACTACTGTCACTGCACATTGCACCTTCCCTTTGAATTTGTAATGATCTAGCAAGCCCAGTCTTTGAAAGCTGCAAAGTCCCTGGGGTGGGACTCTGGTGTGAGCAGTGATTAATTATCCTTGGAGTCATGTAAAAGTGTGTGTGACAAGCATGGGTCAGGGGGTAGCACACTGATCTAAGAAATCAGGAGCCTTATTACTGCTTTTCTGTTGGACTCTTGGCTGACTTTGGGTAATTTGTTTCAACTCTATCCGTAAAATGAGCGCAGTGTTTCTAGACACCTGTAAACAGTACTAATGAAAGGTAGATATTACTGTTTTAAGTGTGGAATAGTAACAATACCTAGCTTTTTATGTGGCTCTTCCATATGTATTATGACTGATTCTGATTCAGTAAGTGATCATAGTAGTAGTAGTAATTTCTACCTGTGAGTTCCAGTTTCTGCTCCAACTGTGCTGGGAAAGACAAACTTGAGCATAATTCCTGCAGTGGAGGAACTGAAGTTAAAATCATAGATACTCTGATGTAGTCCCCTTCATGAATCCCTTGTGGGGGTGTCATATATGCCTTATGAAGGACCATCCACTGAACATAAGATGTTGACATTTGCTGCAAGCTTGTTGCTGGATGCTTTGATACAGTGAAGGTTAAAGCAAAATAAACAAGATGAAAAGATAGTTAACGATGAGCTAGTGAGGGCAGGATGCCTACATCTGTGTGTGCATAAAAGAGCATTACTTTCTGCAAGGACCACCAGTCTGGTCCCAGGGCAGAGAGAGGGGCCAGATCTTCAGTGGGGTGTAAATTGCCACAATATGTTTAGTGTTAGTACGGGTATGATGATTTACATCAGTTGAGAAGCTGGTCTTTGAGTTTGTATATACCAAGAAAAGAGGACAGAGAGGAAAACTTGCTGTTTCAAGGACTGGATTATTTTACAGCGCTTGTGACTAACCATCCCAAAGCTGTTAGAGGCTGTACAGTTGTGAAAAAGAGATGTTTTTATCCACATTAACCACATAACAAGGAATATACCTATAGTCTTCACCCTCTTCATTTCAGTCAACAACTGTCCCTGAGCTGAGTTGCTAAGAAGCCTTCGGAAGGGATGTACTTCATGAACAATTTTTGCACTTGTGGCTGATTATTTGGTTGAAAATCCAAGCTGCTGTTTGTTTGTTTGTTTGTTTGTTGTGACTTGTTTTGTCCTTAGCAAGAGCCTAGCAAGCCTGCAACGTGTGTTGCTTCTGAACAGATGGACGCTTCCTTCTGAGCCCTGCTGTGCTCTGGGCTGCTCTCTGTGGTTTGTCCTGAGCCACTTACAGAAGTGTTGTCATGCATATGGGAGTGAAAAATTGCTGCATCTTCCATGCTGGGATTCCCTTAATACGAGATCTGTCCGTCTTACCTCTCTTCCCATTTCAGCACTTAAATGTCTCCCTCTCTCTTCCCTCCTGTCAAGTGTGAGTCACTCACAATTATAAATGATGTTATTTTTTTGTTTTAGTGAACTATGCAGTTTTAGACAGGAAAAATAGTGGCACAAAATGGATTGCAAAACCACAGATGATCAAGTTAACTTATTGTAAGAAATCAGTTGTTACCCTTAGCTGAAATGTTGTAAGTCGCTATGTATATGCTCCTAATCTGTTGCAAAGTAAACAGATCAGGTTAAACCACTGAAATGAAGTCATTATTTTCTTGAGGGAGAGAAAGCAAGAATACTTTGGGACAGCTAAGGAGGGCAGAAGAGGTATAAGATGAATTGCTGTGCCTCCCTGTAATAAAGAAATGCATATTTGAAGGTGCCAAGCATAGAGATGTCTGGAGCAAGGAACATCCTGAATTCTAATCTCAACTTCAGAAATAATTTACTGCATATTGTCGGTGAAAGATATCCATGTGTTGCATTAACATACAGGAAGACTCAATACTTGCAAGTTTTGTTTATTAGCTTGTGCCTAGATAAACCTTTTATTACTTAAAGCACTATGTGAAACAGGTATGTTAAAGGCTTAATGCTACTTACAGAAACTTGCTCAAACACTTGAGAAACGTGTTGCTATACTAATATACCAGGCTGCACAGTACTCGGCAGGAGAGATCTGGTGAAGGTCAGACAGAAGAGCAGCTCGCTGGCTCTTGTTGCAAGTGCCTATGGATACTAGGAATATTTTTAATATGCTTAATTGAAAATGTTGACTGAATAGTGTTTAAGTTGCCTGTCAGTAATATCGAGCGATGTCAGCCCAAAGTCATGACATGGCATTGCTTCATTTACGAAGAGGTGTAGCTTCACTCCATTATAATGGCTGCGTGTGGTCAGCTGTGAACAGACTGGGCTGGACTGCATTGATGCCCAAGCCGCTTCTTTGTGATTTGTGAGACTGACACTGTCATTTATCAGATACACTGGGTGTGGCTAGTTGCTCTTCTGCACTAAGTTGGCACATCATCATTGACTTCAGTGGAGCCACACTAGCTTACGCTGGCTTATGATCCTGTCCTTCGCATTGGTGAACTCCTTTACTAATAATTCTGCAGTCTGACAGGAAGATGTCTTGTTGCAAGGGCAGATGTTGCCTTTTCAAAGTTTTCCTTTCCCACAAAATTCTCAGAGACCAGTGAGAGGAAGAACCATTTTTATAGTTAATTGAATACTTTTTTTTTTTTTTAGCTGTTTATGCAGAGGATCTCCTTGGTAGCACAGAATGCTTTCTCTGAGCATTAGTGAAGATGAGAGGTGAAAGTCAGGGAGATGGCACTGCCAGGGAATTACCCACAACAATTTGCATGAGTTTGGTACCTTTCATGCAGTATCTCAAGGCACTGTGCTCTCAGAAGCTTGCAACTATAGAGACTAAGCTTCACTAAGCAAATATTGCTGACAGTGGAGGCTTGCATTTATCAAGGGAGCCTGAATTGTAAATAGACTTTGCAAAAAAAAAGAAAAAAAATCCATAGATGAGAGTCGATATTACACATGCATACACATACACATGCACAAAATATACAAAAATAGTACGCACAAGCAACATTGTATCATGTTACTGTTTACTCTATTGAAGGAAACAACCCTCTTTGATTTCTCTATTTGTGCAAAGAGATGATGTTGCAGAGCCTCACATCATTTACCAGTGTCAGTTGTCAGCAATCAGTTTAGTTGTTTTCAAAAAAAAAAAAAAAAGTTTTTAAACATGTAGAGGCTGGCTGCTATTGGGTTATATTTCTGCATTTCTTCATACAATTGCTGGATGTTTGAAATCAGGTAATTATCTTCTGTTTTATGATAGTTTCATACGTATGGCTTTAAGACTGTCCGATAAGGAGGGGAGAATAAACGTTTCCTACACATTCACCCCTCTCTTAATGTAGTACCTACGATCTATTGATTTGAGTGCTAGCTTTGGACTCGCAGAGTCACTTTTTTGGGGCAAGGGCTGTTTTGGCCCCTAACTCTTCCTAACGTTCAGCCTTTTGAAGGACCACTGAGGCTCTGGGCTTTGGCCTCTTTGGTGACTGCTCCTCTGCCGCGTAAGGAGATGGAGCCCAAGCAAGCACTTGCGCCCAGGCTCGCCTCACGTTCACCCACTTGGACACAAGCTGGTTTGCAGACTCGAATATTGGGGGAAAGCACCCAGGGAGGAGAAACTTGGGCTCTGCTTGCTCACCGTGCCATCGTTAGCCTGTAGCTCTTTACATGGGTTGCCGCACGTCCCACCTGTGCCAAGTGTTGCAGGCTGTGTGTCATGCTGCCAGCCAGAAGAATTGTCTGGGGGGCTTTTCTGAAAGATTCCCATTGCCGCTCACAGTTTAGGGAAGCTGTGATTTGTAGATAGCCACAGGCATCCTTTGGCAGAAGTATGGGCAAACAAGTAGTGTGGGTCCTGCTAGGAGCCGCGTGGGGGCAATTGATTTTGTTTAGGATGTATTAGTAGCTCTTGCATTATATCTAGAGGTCTCTCCTCTCCGTAGGTATCTCTTGAAAATAAATGCTTCCTGGAGATTCAGGCATGGAAGGTGTTGTGTCAGTCTGCTGGGAAGTCCAGGAGTCTTTTAGAAATGTTTTGGCCTTGCTTTTTCAGAAAGTCTACTCTTAGATTAACTTCCCAAAGTCGCTATTTTAAACCCCAGTGGTATCTTGGCATTTACCCCCTTCCTTGACTTTTCCAAGGACTCTACCAAATAGGCAATCTGGAGATGAAAAAAACATCATTTCTTTTCTGGGGAAATCCCTTTGACAGCTGAGAACTGGTGATTCCATGATGCCTGAAAAGATGAGTTGTTGAGATGGTTAATGTATTTCAGGGTAAGATTTCTAGCAATATATTTTTTTGACATTACAGGGATTCTTTCCCCCTTCTTCACCAAAGTAAAAAAGACTTTTATTTTTCCGTTTGTTCCATTCAAGCTTATCAGTTTCTTGCCCTAAGTCTAATTTATCTTTTGCTTGCAAAGTCACATGTTGCTCAGTAACTCTACCTTATTGCTATTCCTGAGCAAAACTGAGTCTCAGGTAATGTATGCTAGACAGATATTCATTTTCACCCATGAATTTTCTTGGTATTTTGCCATCATCGTAATAATTGACCCACTATCATTGCTACAAGGTTCATGTTAAAGAATAAATTCTTCTAGTGACATGGACATTTAATGATGAACATCTTAACAATGCAGTACTTTAGATGTGGTTAGACAGATTTGTTTAAAGAGGCAGTAAAGGAGGAATGCATCTCCCCCATCTTTCTATTCCCTTCTGCCCCTCCATCTGAGGCTTTTTTGGAGGAAAGAGCATATTTGCTTTTAAACTAAGGAAGAATATCACAGCTGATATTCTGATACACAGCTGAATAAGAAACTGGTTGCAGTTTTCTTCAGGATCTATATCCCAGTTGCTCCTATGTAGTGCCCTGGACATTATAGGGAAATCAATACGCTGCTGCCAGGGAGAAAGAAAACCAGTTCCTACCAGTATCAATGTTTAATCTATGCTAATGAGCAGTAGCAGTGCTGTGCTTTTTGGCTACGGGTAGGTAACATTATTGACAGAGTAGAGAACAATTCCAGGTAGGAGAGGAAGATCAAATTTTGCACTGGGCAGTCGGGCCTTGCAGAAGCGAGGAGTTAAGATCAAGCTGTAGTAAATAATCTCCCCTTCACTGACTTTGGGAGAGAGATGCTCTTGCCAGGCATGCCAGAGCAGTTAGGTATGGCAAGAAGAAAGGTGTGCACTGCGTGACCACTTAGGAACAGCGGGGAGCCCTTCCTGGGTATGGGTGCTGGATCTCTTGGTTGCAGTCTGTCTACCACTGAGGACTCTGTGTGCGTGAAGCAGAGGCCAAGTCCAGAAAGGTGTTTAGACACTTAGCTACTTTGGTTTTAGTGGGAGTTAGGCACCAAAAGGTTTTCTATAAGGTATAGGCTGCTGACTAGCAAATACATAGGAATGAAAGGGAGGCAGCCAGCCAGAAGCACAACCTTGCGTGTAAGAAATGAGAGAAACCAAGACATCTGGTCCTACTGAATTTGAGAAGAATGAGAGAGGGAGGCCTTGGACATATGTGTCAATACCCCACACGGTATCTCAGTGTTAACAGACAATAGCGTTCGTCAGGCAGGAACTTGTCTCCTGGGGGGTATTAAACACTGAAGTAAACAAAGAAGAGTTTTCAAGCTCTGTGTTAATTAGTATCCAGTTGGAATGAGATCCCTCCCTGTCCCCAGGTTAATGGGCAGATTCTTCGGGGGATGAATACGTTGTTCCAGCTCTCGCGTCCTTGTCTGCCGCAAGGATCACCACTGACTTTCCTAATTCGGAGATACCGTGAAGATTCAGGGATGAAATCTTGTCTCAACAGTATGATCCATGTTCAGTAGTGACTCTTGAGATTTGGGGAAAAAGTACCATGTCTTGATGAGGACTTTTCATGGGCAGGGGAAGAGAGGAGAAGCACTAGGGCACAGTTCATAAAACAAAAATGACTCACAAATTGTGTGTGTGCGTGCAGGCATGCGTGCCCGTGAGAGAGCAAGGAGGAGGAGCGAATGAATCATGGCTGAAGAAAAGGTCTTTCGTCTGAAAGTTCAACGCAGACTCCTGAACTGCACGTATTATACATGCAAGGTGTGAATGCTGAGTTGAGGAGAACACATGCCTAGTTTGTTAAAAAAAACAGCAAATCCCCAGCAGCAACCACGATGAAATTAAACTTATATTCAACATATTTATAGCATTAAAATGATCTTAGCTCATATGAATATAAGGTCAAAATGGAATTTTTCCTCCAGGTATGTACATAAATTAGGTTGCATTAATAGGAAGTAACCAGTCCATTTATTTGTCAATAAGCATTCAAAGTGAAGGCTGAATGAGCCTGTGCCAGAAGGAATGGAAACTATTTTGCATTTCATGATTATGTAAAGCAGTTCGTGGTAGAATGAACTTCTTGTGACCTCCTCCCCTTTTTTCTCCCTCTCCTACCACCCTGACAGCACATAAGTATTTAAATAATTTCCATTTCTAAGGATGTGTTTGTGTATTACATCTAATCAGCGAGAGATGGCTTTTGTATCGTTTGTCTTGTTTTATCTCGTGCTTCCTTTTTAACATAGGCTGAAAGAAACAGTAGTATTTCTGAGTTTTTCCTTGCTCTAGAGATGTAGTGGTCTTCCAGTGATGTGGCTTTACCTACTAACTCATTTACGGGAGTAGTCAGAGGGAGTAGTACTGAGGGAGTAGTCAGGAAAATGCAAAGGAAAATGTTGAAAATTCATACTATTTGAGGACTGTTCAGTTTCACACCAGTTAATGTTTTTTCAATGTCACAGAGATCTGAATGACACTTTTTTTTTTTTAAACTAGTATCACCAAATAATCTGATGCCTGATTTTCAAAGGGCAGGATGAAGGTCTTTTTGAAAATCAGTTTTTAAAGCAACTACAAACTTGCATCTCAGTGTAACTAGTCCCATCTTGAATGTTTTGGTCAGTGCTCCAAAACGCTTTCTGGGGATGTGGGCTGATTAGAAGTGGGTTTTCTTTCGCTGCTGCAGCAGCAGCTGAGATGGCCTCTGGGGATCGAACGGTGACGACTGAGAGTCACCTGGATGGCTTGTACGGGCTGGATTGTGGGTTTCTACCAATTCTTAGAGGATAAATAGGTGCTTGAATGAAGACTTATTTAGTAACTGGTACCAGATTCTGCAGTTCTCTTCAGCCTCAGATGTAATGAAACTGAAAACTGAATTACTTTCTCACACGTAGGAACTAGCCTTCCTAGCTGCCACTGAAGCCTAGTGCATTCAGGACATGTTGTAGAAACAGAAGAATTAATTCTTCACTACTGTTGACCTAACACTTTCCACCTGCCTGAATTCTGTGCTTTCAGAATCCGGCAAAACAATTATATTGTTTTATATGTAAAACATTCTGGTTTTACGTGCATCTGCAACAAAAAATTGAATTTCAGAAATGTTTCTGTTAATAAGTGGGGGAAAAATACAAAAGTATTTTTTTTTATGCTTAACATACCCTCAGGGCAAAAAGAATGAATGAGTTAAAATGATTTTGACCTTCTGCTGGCAAGAGAAATTTTGAATAAGCTTTAACACCTTTCTGAATATTCAGTGTTAGGCTTCAAGTCTGAAGGAGAAAATTGAGAAGAGTCTGAAAAGTTGTGAGCATCGGACAATTATCTGTACCCCTTCGCTGCAGCTGCTGATCGAAACAAGAGGAGGAGGAAGTAAAATGATGTCAGGAAGTCCATGTATAGTGAGCTGGAACAAAGCACTTCTTCGAGAGCTTGCTGTTTGGGATTTGTTTTCAAGACGCGTAAAATTCATATGCACTGGGGCTATGATATAAGGAAGGTTTTGTGCAGTCAGGAATGAAGATTTAATAGCTCGATAAGTAAAGAACCTTATAGATAATTTCAAGGTGTTAATCTAACCTTGCTGTGCCTTTAATCTTTCAGCTTTCTGGAGAAAGGAAAAAACAAAAGCTGACTGTTTTAATATCATAGAGTAGTCAGGGAGAAAAATTTCTTCCAGCAGAGCAGCTTTTAAATAAATTATTACTTTTTTTTTCATGATGGGGAAAAATAACTGTAAGATGGATTTAAAGGAAAGTGAATTTACTAAGTGTCCTGCATCTTTCCCTCTCACTAATTAGTAACAGTCAAATGCTCTTGTTCTGCAGACAGTGACTACAAAGAAAAGGATGAAGAACTTGGAAAAGGCTCTAGAGCTGAAATAATTAGGCAATTTATCATTTAGGGTAATTGGGCTTGTGCAAAGCAGCATTATTTACCACAGGTTTCCATTTCTTCTAACTGGCTGTGAAAATACAGCTGCAGTGATCGGGGAATGCTCTTAGTGCTTTTTCCAATAGGCATTGTACCGGAGACTTTCAGTTCAAAGTGCAGTGTTCCTCCCAGTGATTTTTTTCCCCCTCAGTGATCTTCAGAAGCAGCGTTCAGCTTCTAAAACCTCGAACCAAAATTAGATTAAAGTGCCCAATATGGGGTCAGAAATGGGAGGGGAAGAGAGTGGTGTTTCCACCAGGGAATTTTCACTTAACAAACGAAAGCCTTTGCTTTGTTTCAAAGGAAAAATTGCCAAGTAGAGGCACATCTTAATCACATTGGCAGCCAGCTGAGATGTTTATGCTAATTTCCAAAGGTATGTAAGTGTAGGAATCAGGGGGTCCAAAACTCCTGCCTCCGTGATGTGAAAATCACAAGCATTTAAGCACTACCAGCAGATAGCTCTGATGTTGTTTCAGTTTAAGGGGAAAGGGGGGAGAAGTCAGGAAGGGTTTACTTGAATTTCACTGAGCGATCGGCAGTAGGGTCGCCTCTTCCACTTTGATAATCGGGGAGCTCCTGGCATTTGGAGTGCCACCAAGTTCAGCCTTGCCAAAGGGGAGTACGCTCTTCATTTTTCAGGGTGAAAGGGCTCAGCTACCCCTTTGCAGCTTGTCAGGTTATGCTCTTCTCCCAGCTTTATACCGTTGCCCTCCGTTCTTGAAGGCTGTGTCTACACCAGCAGCTTTGCTTGCAATGAGTGCCCCTCCAACATTGAAATTCCCTGAATTTGACCCACAAAAGGCTCTCATGTGGGGCAAACCCAGCACCGCGTGGGTGCTGCAGGGTGTCACATCTAGCGACTTTGCACCATGTGTACTTTGTGGTGCTGGGACCCACACTCAGAGAGAGATGTCCCCAAGCTGTGCGTAGAAGTAGTCAAGCACTAGGAGAAACTGCTATTTAA